TGATGGTCTACACTCAGCTAGCAACCCAAAAGTTGCTAACCCACCCAGTGCCACTGCAGAAGATCTATCTATAACCAAAGTCCATGAAATAAGACACAATCTCTTTAACAAATAGTCTTAGCAAAACTGGATGTCTATTTGTAGAAAAATTAAACAAGACCCATTCCTCACACCATGCACAAAAACTAACCCAAAATGGATCAAAGATCTAAATATAATATATACAACTCTAAAGATCATGGAAGAAAAAATAGGGCCAACACTAGCAGCCCTAACATATGGCAGAAATAGAATACCAAATATAACTAAAAATGCACAAACCACAGATGAACTAGATAAATGGGACCTTCTAAAAAATAAGGTTAGGGTTAGAGTTAGGGTTAGCATAGTGCCCAAGGCACTTGACTGGTAACCAGAAGGCTGGTGGTTTAAACCCACCAACCACTCCTCGGAAGGAAGGCTGGGTAACCTACTTCTGTAGAGATACCGCCTCGGAAACCCAAGGAGGGATTGCTATGAGTCGGGTCCAGCTCGATGGCACATAACAACAATAACCTAAAAATTAAACACTTACACTCTCAAAGGACTTCTCCAAGATTATAAAGAGAACCTACACACTGGGAATAAAATTTTGGCAATGACATATCTGACCAGGGACTGATCTCTAAAATTTATAGAAAACTTCAACACCTCAACATCAAAAAGACGGTATGGCACTTCATTAAAAAGTTAGAGATACCATATGATCTCACCACCAGGTATGTATGCTAAAGAAGTAAGAGCCATGACATGAATAGATACATGCAAATTCATGTTCATCATAGCACTATCCACTGCTGTGGAGAAAGATGGAAACAACCTAAGTGCCTGCCAGTGGATGAACGGATAAACAAATCATGGTCCATACATACTATATGTATGTATGTATATACATGTACATATGTATGTACCATGTGATATTGAAGAATAACTATGAATCCACAAAACATCTCATAACATGGATAAATCTGGAGAACATTATGCTGAGTGAAATTAGTCAAAATGGCAGATGCTGTATGAGAACACCACTATCAAAAGTCAAGAAGTTTACACACGGAAAGAAACATGCTTTGATGGTTACCAGGGATGGGAGGTGAGGTGAGGAAGGGACTATCACTAACTAGAGAGTAGACATGTGTTAACTTGGGTAAAGAGAAAGACAATAAGGAAGAGGTGAGCATAACATGACCAAGGAACTGGAAGACACTGGGAAGTACCTAAGAGTAAAAGGCACCAACGGTGAATCCTATTATACACACGTACACACATGCACGCACTGCCGTCCAGTAGAGACCCCTCCTTGGGTTTCCGAGGCAGTATCACTACAGAACTAGATTGCCCCATCTTCCTTCTGAGGAGTGGCTGGTGGGTTTGAACCACCAGCTTTCTGGTTAGCAGTCAAGTGCCTTTGGCACTACAACACCAGAGCTCCCATTACATACACAGCCCCGCAATAACAGTAATAATAATTAGCTAGGTAGATACGCAAAATGAACAGGTATGGGGTTGCATATGGACGTATACCCGTGATTATATATATAGGCTTGGTAGAGGATATTTCGAAATATGTATTTGTACATGCATGTGTATAGCAGAGTACACTTGGGGCAAAGGTGTGAAAACTTCTTAGTCATAACCAAACACTGTAAAGGATTGAGTCACTGGGCTTGGGGGCTTAAGACCATAGTCTTGGGGGACATCTAGGTCAACTGGCATAACACAGCCCACAAAGACAATGTTGTACATTCTACTTTGGTGAGTAGTGGTGAGGTCTTTAAAGCTTGTGAGCAGCCATCCAAGATGCAACTAGACAGTCTCTCCCCATCTAGAGCAAAGAAGAGTGAAGAAAATCAAAGACTTAAGGAAACAATTAGTCCAAGACACATGGACTATTAGAACCACAGCCTCCACTAGCCTGAGACGAGAAAGACCAGGTGGTGCCCAGTTACCACTAACGACTGCTCTGATATGGATTATAATAGAAGATCGCGGACAGAGTAGGAGAAAAATGTAGAACAAAATTCAAACACCAGACCTAGTAGTCTGACAGAGACTAATGG